AGTGAGTTATAGGTGTGTTACTATTGAGTTAGCAGTGAGTTATAGGTGTGTTAGTATTGTGTTAGCAGTGAGTTAGCGGTGATAATATGGGGTTAATATGGTGGTCCATCCTCTCTCTAGGTTCGGATAATGGATCATTCAAACATCTGGGAGATGTTCTAGAACGTAACCCAGAACCAGAACTTCGTCACTAGCTAATGCTAACTCCATCAGAGGTGTTGGAGCTGAAGATAAGTCGTAGCTGACCATCCATGACTCCAACCTGTCAGCTGATCTGTCCAGATGATGTGCCGTAGTGACATCATCAATGACTGTGTGTGATTGGATCAGATGTGATGCCTCCCTGTTTCTGTGACATCATCTTGTTTTCTTCCATTTCTGCAGTATTTTTTTCATGAATTCCCATGATTGATTTTTTTTCTCTGGGGTTTTTAGGTGAAGCTCCTGTTTCTCCTTCATCTTCAGCTGTTTGCTTCTCTGTCCTTCCTGTAATCTCTCTCTCTAATCTGCCGTCCACGGTCTCATCTTGTCTCTTTCCTTCCTAACCTGAATGAATTTCTCCTGCAGTCATTTATCTCTGTGATGCTTTGTCCTTCCAGTGTGACCCTGGAGAAGCCACCAAGCTGCTGTATGACCTTCTCTACACTGAGCCAATCAAGATCGTCCTCATGCCCGGCTGCAGCGGCGTCTCCACCATCGTGGCTGAAGCTGCTCGGATGTGGAACCTGATAGTGGTGAGTAGCTCCTCGCTTTACCTGCTAAACTGTGACTAGAGAGACTCTACAGGGGCTCTAATAGAGTCTCCTTACAGGTGTCTCCTCCCCGCCCCTCTGCTGGGTAAAGATGAGCAGAAAGACCCGCTGAGAAAAGTAGAATTTTCTCAGAAAGTCTTGTTGGTTGGTTTGGCTCTTGCTGGATCAACAGAACCCTGAAGAACAATTGAAGGCCTGTTTCCACAGCTGGTTTTTATCTATTTAAAAGAACTTTGTTCAGATGCAACAGAAAGATCAACGCAGCATCATAGATCCATCACCATGTTTACTGGAGGGCTCTGTTTCTGAGAAGCTCATGGTTCCTGACTGGCTGATNGTGGGTTAGAGGTGAGTTAATATTGAGTTAGCAGTGAGGTAGCGTGGGCTAGTATTGAGTTAGCACTGAGTTAGCAGTGAGTTAGTATTGTGTTAGCAGTGAGTTAGCCCTGAGTTATAGGTGCGTTAGTATTGTGTTAGCAGTGAGTTAGTGGTGAGTTAACAGTGAGATATCATTATGTTAGCATTGAGTGATTATTTAGTTAGCATTGAGTTAGCACAAAGTTAGCAGTGTGTTAGTATTGTGTTAGCAGTGAGTTAGCAGTGAGTTAGCAGTAAGTTATAGGTGTGTTAGTATTGTGTTAGCAGTGAGTTAGCAGTGAATCAGTATTGTGTTAGCAGTGAGTTAGCAGTGAGTTAGCAGTGGGTCAGTATTGTGTTAGCAGAGAGTTAGCAGTGGGTCAGTATTGTGTTAGCAGTGAGTTAGCAGTG